GGTGATGAGAAGAAATAGGGTTTTGGGTATGAAACGCTTAGCCTGGTGCCTGCTGCACAGGAAGTGGTTCCTAGGCAGTGGTGGTAGCTATGATGCTACCAGGGTTCTAAGGCTTAGGCTCCTACCCTCGCCCCAGCCCAGCCCCGTCTAATCAGGGGGACCTAAGAATCTGTAGCTTCTGGCCTGGCCCCTCGTGACCCCAGAGCTCTGCTGGGCCTCCTGACCCTCTTTGTCCCCAGACAGCGGCCAAGAAAACCTCATTTGGCTCCCTGAAGGATGAGGACCGGATCTTCACCAACCTGTATGGACGCCATGACTGGAGGTGAGATGGTGCCCTTAGCCTGGTGGGTCGCAGGGCACGGCCTCCCCTTCACCACCTTCCCTACTCTGTCCAGGCTGAAAGGTGCCCAGAGTCGAGGTGACTGGTACAAGACGAAGGAGATCTTGCTGAAGGGGCCTGACTGGATCCTGGGTGAGATCAAGACATCTGGCTTGCGGGGCCGTGGAGGCGCCGGCTTCCCCACTGGCCTCAAGTGGAGCTTCATGAATAAGCCCTCAGATGGCAGGTGTGTTTAGAGGCGGAGATGGGGTTGCAGGAGAAACCTGCGGGTGGCTTTGGCTTACCCAGGGCTTTGGGTTGTTACCTTGGAGTGAATAAAGTGGGAAAACGTTACCGGAGCTTAAGTAGGTGGGACTCAGTTCCCTCTGGTGTTGCTCAAGGGAGACTCGAAGGGTAGCAGAATCAGAACAAGGTTTTTTTTTAATCCTCACCTGAGGATATGCTTACTGATTTTAGAGAGAGAGGGAGGGAGGGAGGGAGAGCAACATGGATGTGAGAGAGAAACATCAATCGGTTGTCTCCCTTGCACACCCCTACGGGGGATCGATCCTGCTATATAGGTATGTGCCCTGACCAGGATTGAACCCAAAACCTCTGGTGTACAGGACAGTGCTCCAACAAACTGAGCCACCTGGTCAGGGCAGCACAAGATTTTGACTCAAGCGACTTAATTGATCAATTCCTAGCTCTGCCCTCTAATCATTAAGCTTGGGCAGTCTCCGCCGTTTTGAACCTCAGTGTTCTTTTTTCTAAATGGATATTATATTTTGTGGGGATTAAAGAGATAATGTTTGCATGGCTTTTGGCCTGCTCATTGGTCAGCACATAGAAAGCAAAGAATGCATGTCTGCTCCTGTACTTCCCTCTGGCCTCAGTGAGATGCTGGAGGTTCAGAAAGCCCTTTGTGACCAAGAGCAGAATTCGGGCTCTTGGGAAAGCACAAAGAGACGTTTGGACAGCAGAACCAGGACCCTTCCTGTGGTCACAGCCACCCAGAGGTGGGCTAGACAGTGAGCTTCCTGTCATGGTGGTGAGCGAGCAGAAGCCTGGGAACATGGGAGGGCAGAGAGGGCTTGGCGGGCAGAGGAGACATCTCTGAGGCTTGGCTGGCAGAGGGGGGTTGGAAGACCCTCCCCGCTGGCCCTGTAGCCTAACTGACCTGCTGGCCCCCACAGGCCCAAGTACTTGGTGGTGAACGCGGATGAGGGGGAGCCGGGCACCTGCAAGGACCGGGAGATCATGCGTCACGACCCCCACAAGCTGGTGGAAGGCTGCCTCGTGGGGGGCCGGGCCATGGGTGCCCGTGCGGCCTACATCTACATCCGTGGGGAGTTCTACAATGAGGCCTCCAATCTGCAGGTGGGCTGGGGGAGGGACATCACAGGAGGTGCTCCATGTGTGCTCACCGCCCACTTACCTGGCATAGTCAGGCTTAGATTTTAGCGCCTAATCTGTGTGGGGTCCCCTGGGAGAGTGCTGGTCACTCCTGCATGTGTCACGATTGGGACATGGCTCCCAAAGGCCTCCTTGTCTGGGCCTTCCCAGTGTACTCCAGAGTCTCAGCTTGGGGGAGGTTTTCTAGGGCTCCATGACTTCTAGGGTGTGGGTGGGCTGGGGAGGTCATAAGAGGGCGTATTTCCTGCAGAAGCGTCAGTGATCAAGAGGTAATTCTTAGCCTGGTGATGCCTGTAGTATTGGGCCTGCATAGTAGCATCATGTATAAATTTATTGTTATTACGTACTTTAAAGTTAAACCTCTAGGACCGTGGTCGGCAAACCGTGGCTCACGAGCCACATGCGGCTCTTTGGCCCCTTGAGTGTGGCTCTTCCACAAAATACCATGTGTGGGCGCGCACGTACAGTGTGATTGAAATTTCGTGGCCCATGCGCAGAAGTCGGTATTTTGTGGAAGAGCCACACTCATGAGCCGCAGTTTGCCGACCACTGCTCTAGGGTCTTGCCCTCTATTGCAGAAGCAGTACTTATCATGAAGATAGGAAACCACACACACAAGAGAAAAATCTCACACAGACCCACTACCTAGAGAAAGTACTTGCTGAATTTTTCATGATTCTAAAATTGTTCTTTTAAAAATAGATGTAGTTGGAGAATTTTTAAGTTGTTGTTCCAATGGCATGCACACTGTACAAGTCCTCCCCCTCTCCCAGAGCGTCCTCCATTCCTGCCAAAAGGGGGCTTTTGCCCTGGATTTGGTGATGGGCCTGTATTCTCCCCTCTCCTCTGCCCCCCGCACACACACAGTATCCCCAGGCCCTTGGGGACAGTGACCTCCCCTCTCACCCTTGTCCCACAGGTGGCCATCCGAGAGGCCTACGAGGCTGGTCTGATTGGCAAGAACGCCTGTGGCTCCGGCTATGATTTTGACGTGTTCGTGGTGCGCGGGGCTGGGGCGTATATCTGCGGGGAGGAGACAGCGCTCATCGAATCCATCGAGGGCAAGCAGGGCAAGCCCCGCCTGAAGCCGCCCTTCCCCGCAGACGTGGGTAAGATCCGGCCCAACCCTGGGCCTTGTCCTGGGTCCTGCGGGATCCAGGATCTGGGTTCGGGTCCCCACTGGTCTTTCTTAGGGAATTTCTGAGTTCCTTCTGCACTGGGGCCAGACGCAGAGTCGGTGGCAACAACATAGAGGCTCCACCGGTGCCACCTGCCTCAGCCCCCACGCCAGACACCCAAGTCCCCTCCAGCCCTCCGGGAGCAAAGGGCAGGGGGTGAACAAGGCAGTGCAGGACCTGCTGGGCTTTGGGGTCCAGTGGGGATGAGAATGATAAAGCAGTAGAAGGGGGGAACAGGACCCTGGGACAGACCCATTGCCGGGAAACCCACCCCGATTTGCCCCATTTCCTCACAGGAGTGTTTGGCTGCCCCACCACTGTGGCCAACGTGGAGACAGTGTCTGTGTCCCCCACCATCTGCCGCCGAGGGGGTGCCTGGTTCGCTGGCTTTGGCCGCGAGCGTAACTCGGGCACCAAGCTGTTCAACATTTCTGGCCACGTCAACCACCCGTGCACCGTGGAGGAGGAGATGTCGGTGCCATTGAAGGAACTGATTGAAAAGCATGCGGGTGAGGCCTGGGGCCAGGGTGCAAGGGTCAGGGCTGGGCATTTGGGGAGAGCCAGGGCTGGAAGGGCCTGGGGCTGGGGTGGGGTTTGATAGGCCCTGGGCTCAGGACCAGGCAGGTTTGCTGTTCCCAGCCCTGACCACCCATCATTTCGGGGACTGGGACCCAGGGGGTGTCACGGGTGGCTGGGACAACCTCCTTGCTGTGATCCCCGGCGGCTCGTCCACCCCGCTGATCCCCAAGTCCGTGTGTGAGACGGTGTTGATGGACTTCGACGCGCTGGTGCAGGCACAGACGGGTCTGGGCACGGCTGCGGTGATCGTCATGGATCGCTCGGTAAGGGCTGGCCCCTGCTTCTCACCCGGTCCCCACCTCTTGCCAGCCTGCTTGGTACCCCTCCCGTGGCTTCTCTGAGAACTCTTGCCAGCTCTTGCGTCCCAGACTCTGCAGCCTGAGATATAGGTGGGCAACGGGGGAGCAAGGCTGCTCTGAGGCAGGGTGCCATGTAGCGTGGGCAGTGCAGGATGCCCAGGGCGGGTCAGGGAGTGTCAGGACACTGGTGGAGTCGGAAGGGGCTGCTTCTGGGGACTGAGGCTCAGGCCTTGGGTACCTACTCACTGTCCTTTGTCTCCAGACGGACATAGTGAAAGCCATCGCCCGCCTCATTGAGTTCTACAAGCACGAGAGCTGTGGCCAGTGCACCCCGTGCCGAGAGGGTGAGCACCCGGGCAGGGTGGGGCTTTCCCTGTGGCTCACCCTGGCCTGGGTTGGGCAGAGGTCCAAGGTGGGGTGGGCTCTGGACCCTGAATAAACAGATGCCGCCCGGCCTGCTGTGGCCTCTCTCAGTCTCTTCCTACTGTGGCTGCAGGTGTGGACTGGATGAACAAGGTGATGGCTCGCTTTGTGAGGGGGGACGCCCGGCCGGCCGAGATCGACTCCCTGTGGGAGATCAGCAAGCAGATAGAGGGTCACACCATCTGTGCCCTGGGCGACGGGGCCGCCTGGCCCGTGCAGGTACTCACTGCCCCGCCCTGGCACTAGTGTGGGGCTGCTGGGAACCCAGGGCCTTGGGAATTTTAGACCCTGGTTCACACAGTGCTCCCACCCCTTCCCAGGGCCTGATCCGACACTTCCGGCCGGAGCTCGAGGACCGGATGCAGCGGTTTGCCCAGCAGCACCAGGTCAGGCAAGCCGCCGCCTGAGCCTGCTGCCCTGGGCTGGTGTCCATCATCCAGACGGCGGGACAATAAAGCAAGTGCTGCCCACTATCCTGTTGCCGCTTCTCTGTGGCCTCGCGCTCCCCCTGCACCTGAGGTCCATTACTCATGGGGCCTGTTTCCCAGCTGGGGAGGCTTGGAAAGGTTAGGCCAGCTCAAGCTCAGGCCGTGAATCCAGACTTTGGCCTCCTATGGGTCAGCGAGTCTGTCCTAGACCATCCAGGGTAGCCTTCAGTATAGGAAGTGGTGGGGGGAGGGCAAAGCTGTGGCCTGAGGTCCACACCTGGGCCCTTGAGGGTGGGGACAAGGAGCGCAGGGTCCAGTTTGCCCTGTGAGGTGATGGGCCAGGAAAGAACAGGCTTGGTTTAGTCTGGACTGGAGGAGAGGTTTATTCCTGCTTCCTGAGGGGGCACTGGGCGCATCTGGAAGGGGCGGAGGAAGGAAACAATTTGACTAGGGGCTGGGCATGGTGGGTGAGGCAGCCCTGGTTCCTCCCACTCTGGAGGCGTCTGGTCAGTCTGGGGAGGAGCAGTGAGCAGGGCCACGCGGGTGCCCCCGCTAGTCGCTGAGCTGGAGGGGTGCACTGCCGTCCAGCGGGTGCCACAGCTCCAGCCGGTGGTCACTGTGGCCCAGGCACTCTCTCCAGTGCCGCTGGCGCTCCCCACCGGCCCGGCCACTCAGCTGCACCCCGCCTGGATTGGGGGATAGGAGTCAGGAGATGTGTGGGAGCCCATTGGGCCCCCCACCCAGCTCCCCTGCCTTCCCACTCACCAATGAAGTCGTTGGCCGGGCCCAGGTCATAGTCCCATACAGACACCAGCAGGGTCTTCTGGGCCAGCTCCTCCCTGCGGCCTGCGTAGAAGAACTCCTGCCGGAGGAGACAGGAAGGAAGGGGCAGCCTCGTCCTTCCCAGCTTCAGGAACAGGCTTAGGCTGGTGCGGGACTCGGGTCAGCTGGGACCTGTGTTTCTGACTGAGGCAGCGTACTGACACCCCCCACCGCCCCGGGCAGCAGGACTGCCCTGGCCTGGCCCTGGCCTACCTCATAGAATTCGGGGTTCAGGGTCTTTTTCCGAACACTGGTCTTATATTTAGTTTTTTTCCCCACATTTGGATGCAGGAATCTGATTGGGGAGGATGGGGTCGGGTTAGGTGTGGCTCTGGAGAGGTGAGCCCCAGAGGGGCTCTGAGGAATCCCCATGCCCACCTGTCCACCCTGTTCACACTCACAGGCGGACGAAGGGGTCCGAGTAGCCATTGGCATCCATGGGGGCCAGGTGGGCGCATCGCAGCACCCCTACCAGCAGGCCGCCCCGCTGAGAGCTGTAGCACAGTGACAGCAGGATGCGCCCGCGCTCCTCCCCAGCCACCTCTGCCACCTCCTGCAGGGTAGGCTGGGGTCAGCCCCTGAGGCCCAAAGCCCACCCACCCACCAGTATCGGCCAGGGTGTGAGAGCTCAGACTGGCTGCAAAGAAGTCAGGGGCCAATGATTTAACTTCATGGTTCAATTTCACAAACTCATGGACCTGGTGCCCTGGAAGGGACTTGCACGGGTCACCTGTTCCCTCCAGAACCTAAGAGGGGGAGGGGCTTGCTCAGCCCACGTGACTGGGCAGTTCCCATCTTTGCCGTGGAGAGGAAGGGGACTGATGTTGAGAGCCACAGACAGGCCAGGTCCTTGCTGATGGCCACCCACTAGGTGCCCACGCCGCCCTCCTACGGGTAAAGCCCATGTCTCGGGAGCAGCTCCGAGAGGCTGTTCTCCACTCCACACCCGCCCTCCTCACCCCCACCTCCTGGGGACCAGATGCTGAGTGCCTTCCGGGGGAGGCTGGGCAGGACATGTTCCTCCCATTCTTAACATAGGAGTCGATTTGCAGGAAGTCCAACCACCGTGCTAGCATTTAGTTCTTCCTACGGGAATGTCCCGTGGGCACCTGCCGTGCACCCCCGCACTGCAGTGAGTGGGACAGGAAGTGGGTGGCACCGGTTACCAGCCCCACGGAGGTGGGACTTGCCTGGCCTTTAGGCATCAGCTGCAGTAACTTGTGGCTCCACTAGGGGGCAGGGCAGCAGCACTGGACCTTCCATCCGAGAGTGGCCTGGGCCAGTCCTGCCTCAGCCTTGCAGCATCCCTGCCCCTCCCAGGCCAAAGGGGTTCTGGCCTGTCTTTGGTCTCCCCTGGGGTCCCTCCAGCTACTGTCACTGCCTCCTGACGAGGGCTTGTCTAGGGCTACCAACCCCGGGAGTGGCACCCACGTTGACCCCTGGGAGCAGCCAGTGAGTCCCACCTGTCCATTCCCTCCTGCCCTCCCAGCTGCTCTGGCCACAGACAAACCCCATCAGTTTCAGCACCTGCCTCCAGGCGGCCTGCGGGCTGTGCGTATCCCAGTGCCCCACACATCCTCTGGCCTGGCTGCCCCCAGGGCTCCGAGCACTCGCAGAACATATGGGGGTGGGCCTCAGTGTCGCCAAGCCCACCTCCCCGCCTGCCTGATGCCCGAGTACCCCAGGCCTGTCCCCTTCACCTCCTGCTCAGTTCCACTGTCGCACGCACCTCATACAGGGACATGCCCCGGGATGTGTCCAGGCGCTCCGGCCTCTTGGTCTGAAAGGGCAGAGAGCCTGGTCACCTTGGCCGGACACTGCCCAAGTTTCCCTCCCTGACCCCCCCCTCCAGCTCCCCCATCACAAGATTGCTGTACCCCAAAGCCC